ACGTGTAGGAGTAATCGGCCCTGCTAGGAAGGGAGTAATGTTGGCTCCCATGGTAATTTTGAGTTACACTGTTCTGTCCTCGAGGGATTTCAAATGAAGAGGAGGCAATGCACGGGTTACACGTGCTGAACAGGAACGTCAGAACGGTTTGGGAACTTAACTGCTTTTGCTTCAATAACGCAGGCATGTACCTCTCCTCTTTGAAAAAGGGAGGGCTCCAGGCTCTAGCATTTCTTGGGTGCTTATGTGCATACAGCAAGGAGGAAACTGATGAGGACCCACAGTGAACTTCTCCAAGGTTACCTGGTTTGTCTCTCCACTTTGAAGGTCCTCTTTGGTAGTTGACTCTGCTTTCGTGCATTGAGGATAGACCCGCATCAGCAAGAGCTGGGGTAAGTCATGCATGTCAGAGTGGCCCTACCTGTCCTCACACAAAGAGAAGTCACCCTGTCCCTGATCATCGAGGCAGAAGGGAGCCAAGACCCAGGTCTAGTGGGCAATGCAGACTTGGTTGTCAAGATCTAGTGCTGAGAAGATCCAGACATTCTTGGCTGCCTAAATTGGGTGAATTATTAGGTCCCAGAAGAGCCATGAATGTTGCCTTGCTACACGAAGTGTGTTTACATAAAGTATCCTTGGAAGTGTTAATTTTCATTAAACAAAACATTGCAATACACTGATATATGGTATTTTCATTGAAACACACATCAGTTCATGCCCACTGTCAGAGGGGGCTGTTGGGACATTGAGCTTATGTCTGTCCTTCGCAGTTGCAAGGCTTTTTAAAATTTTTTTAATTGCAGTCTGAAAACAGCCACTGTTTATTTATTGACCAGATTACAAAAATAATCTTGGTGGATACCTTAGTTCATCCTTCTAATAAGTCTGTTGATCTGGTCTTCCCTGTGGCCAGCATCTCCACCTTCTACGAAATGGGTGGTCTTTTTCTTCATTTCACTTTGTGGAGAAGATCATTTGAAGGGCCACAGGAAGTTATTTGCTTCCTTGAAGCATTCTCCAGCAGTATAGATTTCATGAATCAGATCCTCCATGAAGATGATGCCAAATTTACCAAGAGATTGAGCAATCAAAGAGTTTTCTGTTAGATTTCAGTGAAGTTTCATTTATGGAGGAAAAATAAAATGTACCATGTTGATGTTATCTGACTTCTTATATCAGGATTGATGAGATTAATGCCCATCCTGACTTCTACTTTTTCAGACTAATGGTACAGTTATTTTTTTATTTTTTTTTTTTGAGAGATTTTCACTGTAGGGCGCGTGCGCTCGCCAGACAGACAGAGAGAGACATAGAGACAGAAAGCGAGAAATCACCCCCCATGGGGGATGGTCACGCCGCAATCCCTTCTCCTCCATTCTCCTCTCGGGATCTTGGGCACGCACGCACACGTGCCCGGCGTGAGTTTTAAGCCACCGGGTCCGGGACGCGAACCGCGGTTGACTACGTGGGAGTCCAGCGACATAGCCATTATGCTAACTGCTGGTTCCCATGGTACAGTTATTTTAAACTGTATTTTAACTATTAGGTTGTCAGGAAAGTTGCGACATATTTTTCTATGCAAAAAAATGTGTCATGACTTTTCCAACAGTTCAATAATTTGCACAATAATAAAAACTGGATTATCTCAGAAGGTAATCCTTTTAAAAAGTATTTATGCATGTATTTATTTGTTGTGATTTTCAAGTCCACTGGGATTTGAACCACAGTCAGCCATGTGGTAGTCCAACACCTCATCCTCCACACCAGCTGCTGGCTTTTAGGAGGTAATCTTAAAATAACACCACCACCAGTGGCTGTGGGATTCCTCTGATGGACATCTATATGCATCTGTATAAAAGGAAGCACAACTTGCTTGATTCTTACC